TCTTTTAACTAAACACTTCATCAGAACCTGAATTATGTCTTTGTTATAGTGTTTTCAAAATTATTAATTTTGGCTCAATCCGCACCCATCTTTACTCATTCGAACATACCAATTTGAAATGGTAGCGGCTGTGGTATATACTTTAAATCAAATTTAAAAATTGTAGTCCAATGTTCATTGGACGAGTTTTTTGTAAATAGAATAAAAATTATTGTACTTCGTTATTTTCTTAGCGATTGTATCGCCGAATACAATGTTTTGAGATTAAAAATTAAATGTTTGTTGATTTCATATTTTGAAACTTCGTACGTACATTAAAAGACAGGTTGACTAAGCACAAGTATGTTAAAGAATCATGGATTTATGGTTTGGATTTCCCTATTTATAATGTAATTACTGTTTTCTCTTTTTGAGCTAAATGCTTGTATTAGTAATATGATTTGTGGAGTAGCCTTGTATTATATATACAATAAGTTATATGTTATATGCACCCTCCTACTTTTTATTTTTACTTCATCTATATATTCTTCTTTTTTTTAAATTTAATATAACACATTTTTCTATTATTATAATTTAGGTATGGTTTTTTTTTTTCGTTTTATTTCTGCTAATCAGCTGTTTAATATAACCTTCCTCTCTTGTGTTTAAGAAACCTTCTATTTCCTTTAGTATGTGTCTAGATGACTTGGTGAGAGGTCAATAGCATTTTTTCTCTCTCTCTATTTTTTTTTATGGCTATACATCCGTATTCAGAAAAATTGCATCACCCAACAAAAATTTATTTTTTTTAACAGATTGCTATCTGCAAGATCTCCAAACATTTCTTTTCCTGTTTTGAAACGATATTCTAAAAACAATCGCACAATTAAGCGGGCACATTCTTCGTTTTTTTTTTGTTTTTTTTCTGCTCCCAGTTTCTTTCTTTCCCTCCATGCTGCTCCCCCTCCCCTAAACTACGACAACCGTTGATTGTTGGTACCATATTCTTCTTACTATTTCCCATGAAAATTCCTTTACTTCATGTAACGTCACAATTTCGATATTTTCAGACGAGGACAGTCTTCGATACAGGTCATAATTACAGCTTTTACTCTAGCATTAGTTAAAACTGGACTGAGAAACATTGACAAGTTTTAAAGGATGGAGATGGTCCGGGGTGGCAGTCATAAATAGGCTAAATAGAGGTAAAACTATTTTATTAAAAGCGGACGTTTCGACCTGACTTTGTAGGGGAGTGTGTGTTCAGGTAGGAGCTAGTTGTGATCTAAGTGGAACTCCTAGCTGAACACACCTCCCTGAAGAAGACCGGCAAAGTCGGGTCGAAACGTCAGCTTTTAATAAAATAGTTTTACCACTATTTGGCCAATTTATGACCGCCACCTTGGACCATCTCCTTCCTTTATAATGCAACGGTCAACTATTAAATATTCAATATTGCTAAGTTTTCTTGTACTCTTAATAAGTAAAGAAAAACTAAAAAATTCAATCGAATCAACGTTATTCACATAAACATCATAATGAATTTGTGATGCAATTTCTATGGCCGCGACTGTATGTGATCTTGTTTTTTCTGTCTGAATTAACTGTTCGTTAGGGACTCGTGGATATTTTGGATTTTTCCATTTAAAACGTAATCACTGTTTGTCTCTTGTAATATGCATTGTGCTGTTCTTAGTACGAAAAAACTTTATTATGAAATATTATATATTATATAATATGCAGTAATCTCTGATTGCTGCATATGGTGGATATGCATATAATAAAAAAAAATCATAAAATGATAAATAATATAATACGATTTTAATTTCAAATGACACTTCAACTTTCCTCCTTTGGTAAACAATTGTTCCCTCCGACCTCTCGGAAATATACCCAGTCATATAAATATGTATCCGGTGACACCTGACCATAACCAGAGGACAGAATAAGAGAACGGGAAGAGGAGAGGGAAGAAAAGTGGGCCTCTATTGGATTTGCCTTCCCCTTCTATTGTCACACATATTGTAGTCCTGAGTTATCTCCCTCCTGGGGCCAGGCCCCGAGGCCCCGGCCATACATCGCTCCATATTCCGATGAGGGTGGAAAGATGGGAGTACCTAGCTGAGTTGATCAAAGATGTAACCAATAAATAAATAAAGAAATGAAATAAAGCCTGTGAATTTTAATAAGTGAATTAAAATCATTAATAAAACTAATCATCTCACAAAAGTTCACTTTGGCCAAAGCAGAGAATTATACTTAGGATTAGAGTTTAGAAACTATTAGAAACTATTTTGCCTTTACTTTTAAATTCACAAAAACTTATTTTTATTTTTGACTAGTCTTGGTCTTGGTCCTGCAACAATTAGACAACAATTGCAAAGTACATGACCAAGGCCGATTTTGGGCAATACTTGAGCCCAGAATGCGAGGATAAGAACTTGTTGTTATAACATCATTATAAGTGTACTCCAATAGTTATGACAATAACAGATCACCAAATTTATTTGTTTATTTATTTTATTATTGTGCTTAGTGTTGCCCAAATGTGAGACCGAGACGAGTCTTGATCTTGCAGACTCAGTCTTGGTCTAGGTCTTGGTCTTGCGCAAGACTCTCGAAACAATCCTGCAGTTACCTATTAGCTTATTACTAGAGAGATATTACTGCAATTTTTTAGATAGGAGAAACCTAACTAAGCCTAAAACATTAGAAGAGTCAAATGCAAAAGTATATTGGTTACACCAATTCTTTACATATACTAACTAAAATTGTCAAGTTTTAGTAACTATTTTGCCTCAATTTTAATTCAAAAAATCGAGTTTTTCAACCAGCCTTGGTCTTGGTCTTGCAACAGATAGGCGGTGTTGCACATGGCAAGACCATGACCGATTTGATTTAAGCGGAATCCAAAATATCCACGAGTCCCTAACGAACAGTTAATTCAGACAGAAAAAACAAGATCACATACAGTCGCGGCCATAGAAATTGCATCACAAATTCATTTTGATTTTTATGTGAATAACGTTGATTCAATTGAATTTTTCAGTTTTTCTTTACTTATTAAGAGTACAAGAAAACTTAGCAATATTGAATATTTAATAGTTGACCTTTGCATTATAAAGGAAGGAGATGTTCCAAGGTAGCGGTCATAAATTGGCTAAATAGTGGTAAAACTATTTTATTAAAAGCTGACGTTTCGACCCGACTTTGCAGGTCTTCTTCAGGGAGGTGTGTTCAGCAAGGAGTTTAACTAAGATCACAACTAACTCCTAGCTGAACACACCTCCCTGAAGAAGACCTGCAATGTCAGGTCGAAACGTCGGCTTTTAATAAAATACTTTTACCTCTATTTATGACTGCCACCCCGGACCATCTCCTTCCTTTAAAACTTGACAATGTTTCTCAATCCAGTTTTAACTAATGCAAGAGTAAAAGCTGTAATTATGACCTGTATCGAAGACTGTCCTCGTCTGAAAATATCAAAATTGTGACGTTACATGAAGTAAAGGAATTTTCATGGGAAATAGTAAGAAGAATATGGTACCAATAATCAACGGTTGTCATAGTTTAGGGGGGGGGGAGCAGCATGGAGGGAAAGAAAGAAACTGGGAGCAGAAAAAAAACAAAAAAAAAAAAAAACGAACAATGTGACCGCTTAATAATTGTGCTGAGATTAGGGCTCCCCGCATAAGGGATTCTGAGGCCTACTATTGCCCAAAATCGTTAATGGTCTTGTACTTTGCAATTGTTGTCTAATTGTTGCAGGACCAAGACCAAGACTAGTCAAAAATAAAAATATAAGTTTTTGTGAATTTAAAAATTAAGAGAAAATAGTTTCTAATACTAGAAAATTTTATTTACGATGAGTAAAGAATGTAAAAAATCGTCACAATCGGACCAGTTTTAGCAACGTTACAGTGTATTGAATTTTAATAACTGATTTTAATAATTTTTCAGTTGCTCATTTATATTGCTTTAGTTTATCAATAAAATCGAGCTCTATTGATTTCTAGCATGTGTGTATTTAAGTATTTATTTTGTTAGAATTGCTTATTTTTGTTTAGTTTGTATACATTTGCTTTAGTATTATTATATTGCAGTTTATTATTTTTATTTATTGTGCATAGTATGAACGAGCTACTCTATATCACTATTACTATTGTTCTTGAGTATGATAGATTGTAATATATTTCAATAAAGATTACTTAAAAAAAAAAAAAGATTTTTTGTGATCACTTATCAGGAAAATTAGTCTAATCCAATTGTATTATTTTTAATTAAGAAAATTAAAATTGAAAAAAAGATTGTTTGAAATTGGCAGGAAAGTCATTTGAGTAGCCACCAAATATTGTATTTAATTAATTCTGAGATTGTATAAATTGTTTCTACTCTACAACTCTTCTATTCCGAGGTTTGGGCCATCGCTATTTTTCTTGAAAATTACTTTAATGTTTAGTCAAGTTAATTTATTAATTTGGTTGGACATAAACATGTTTATGGCAATAAAGCATCTAAATGTACCAACTCTGTGGCGTTTTTCTAAGATCTAAAGTAACATCTGTAAGTAGCAATAAGCTAATAGGGAACTGCAAGATTTGCGAGACTCGCAAGACAAAGACCGAGACATGCATTTGGGCAACACTACTGGGGCCTGAAGGTTCGAGGGTCCTCATAAAGATAATTGGATTTTACAATAAACTTTTTTGTTAGATTTTTATAAATTGAAACAATATATTATTATTGTAATGATTCTTCAGTTGTAGAGTAAATATATTTATAAGAAAAAAGATATATTTTTTTTTGTTTGTCTTTTTAGGTAGAAGGAGAGGTACAAATTTCTATTACTTTATGTAATATAACAAGAACCAATTTTTTTAAAATTATTTTTCCCAACTGTAAAAGGTTGAACTATTTATCAATGTCATGTTTCTTATCAGAATATATTTCTCATATTCATTAAGATAACGAAGATGATGAAGATAATGAAGATAATAGACACTAGCAAAAATGAAAATTAAATGGCATTTAAAAAACATATTAATAATTCATTAACACTGGCAGAATATGTAACTTTTATATTTTTATTTTTATTGTTTATTAAATAAATTCTTGGGCGAAGAAACAAGTTTAGATATTAAATTATAGAATATCGCTTGGATGATTTATCATAGTGCGACTTCATTGGATCGATTGCACCCTCGCAGGTTACCGAAGAATCTCATTCCGGGGCCTGAGAAAGACAAACCTGAGAGGAAGCAATAAAGCCCACAACTAAGTTGCAGGAGTGCTGGAAAACTGGAAGGGCTGGAAGGGCAGAGGCCATTGGATTAGCAGCAACACTCCAGGGCCCACTTACTGATATTGCCATCACGAGAAGGATTCTTCTCTGCCCTTCGCTAGCTGTTAGGTCAGATTAGGTTCCCATTCAACTTGTACTTTCATATTAGGGTGTGACATTTCAGAGATACGATAAGGTTAAGCGTTATATCACGTTTCTTCATCTATCCATTCAATAAATATAATTAGAAATACTAATTATAAATTAAATATTACACTCAAAATTCAGTGAGGTAACATTATTGCATAAAATTTATTAAATAAGTGCTATAAAATTACTGAGATGACTATAAAAAATGGTAATCAAGAGATGAAAGCTTTTCGAAAATATTAAAATATATTTGTATCCAGTTTTTCTCGGTCAAAAAAGTCAGAAGTAGAATACTTTTTGGTGAACAGTAGTTGTTAATAAATTTTGAAAATAACAAAATACATTGTATGAATCGCTAAAGTAAGTCGCGCTCTGTATGAATGTGGTAGTAGAATAGAAAGTAATCTTCACAAAACAGTTAGACACTGGAAGACCGTGTTTTATACGTTTGTTGCATAAAGTCGATAAGTGCCTACATTTTTGATAGAACTAAATTTTTAAGATATTTCTTATGAATTTTTTTTTAAAACAAGACAACAATTGCTCTAAAATACTGCAAACCTTTTTATATATTAAGTATACTTATAGAAAATACATACCTAATTTTTTTTTACAATATATCACTGACAGAAAATCCATCAAAGTTCTTGAAATTAGAAACTGTCATAATAAGTCACTTATAGCTTTTTGCAATAAGTCAATGATATTACTTAACAAGATTTCGTTTATACTGTTCAGACTTAACCTATAAATACGAACATAAATTTCCAACGATTTAATTTTACACTGAAATTATATTTTCCCCATATATAAATTTTATATTCTACATAAATGTAGAATTTTTTCATTTCTGTTCAATATTTTTGTGGCTATGTATATTTATTTAATTGTTTTCAAATAACAGAAATAATTTTAATTTACTATTGTTATTATTATTCTTTATTTAATTTTTTTGTTGAGGGAGATAGGGTATTTTACTATTTTTAAACTGTAATTTAAATAAAAATGTAATAACATATGGATATTATGTATCAGCAGAAGTTTAATCAAGATGAGATAATGAGTTTTTGATAGTTAAATATGATTAATAAATTTGCTATTACACTACAAGCATAATTAAATTAGTATATGTGTTGACCTACATCATGACCTTAATATCCCATTTGTCCTCGACCTTATTCCTGAAAAAATTTTCAAATTCCATCAGAACCTTATAAATCATCCAAATCCCCTAGAACAATCCCTATCTAGTTTCACTCATCCCTATAATCCTCCTCGAACGTTGAAGCGGCAACGGCCCAGAGATCTTTTGTAGTATATATCATGGAGTTCTAGTGATGGCTAGATTCTCCACTCAAGACATGAGTGTCTGTGGCTAAAGCGCTCTCGCTCAACCTCCACTGGCTTTAGCAACAGTGAAGCGGTTGAGAGAGTAGTGCAGGGATCTCTTGGAGTCCTACTTTTATTTCTATAGCTGGAGGGAGAAGCTTGGGGTTCCCTGCCTGATTATACAGTTATGATTGTGTTTTTAATTTAACTATCGCAAGGTTATTTTATTTTTTTATTGTTCATAGTTTTTGATTATTATTTTACTTTTTTTAATTTTATATTTTCTGTATATATGGTGCGAATGTATTCATATATCACTATCATTATTGTCCACGTGATAGATTATTATATTTCTAAATAAACAAATAAAAAATATATGTGCCGAATAAATGAATCAGGTAGCTCGGAACATTCTTCATCCAAATCTCTGCAGAAATTTGAATTTTGATAAAAGATAGAAATTTCGAAAGGTTCAATTTTTCCTTGAATTAAAAAAAAAACAGTTATTAATATTATATAATTCCATTGATTGTAGTTTTCTTCCTACACGAATATGTGCTCCAGCGCATTTCTAATTGCAAAAATGTTATCTGTTCTAACGAAGTCGGATGGCAGTTAAAACTCGTGCGGAGGGTTCGCTAACGTATTCCTATTCCGGCCAATTATAATACTAATGGTCCATGACATACAAATTGAAATGGCGGTAGCATTCCCACGGAGCCGTTCCTCACCGGGCGAAGACAAGATAAGAAAGGACTAATTAATTTCCCCTGAGGGACCCCTCCGGTGTTACAGATGTTAACATCGCTCCTCAGAAGTATATATATTGTGTTATTAGAATAAGAACAAGATGGTGGCCCCCTAGGCTAACAGGCTAAGAGCCCCTCTCATTTTCCCCGGGAGCGTCATCAGTATCTCATCAGGGGATGCTCCCCACCCACTCAACCCCTCCCACCTTTGTTTTAATTAAAGTACAGCACCAATGCGGCCGATTCTAATTCCCTTCTGTCGTCCCGGCTTCTGGGATCAAAATCACCGAAGCTGTAACAAACGAGAGAGGAACATGATATTACCTGGATATTGAGAATAATAACTTACAATGCTAAACTGCGAAGGAAGAATACAAAAAATGACTAGGATTTGTAATTAATTACATTTCTTTATCATTAGTGAATAAAACATAAATTAATAAAAATGTACCCATTCAACATTCGTTTAGATAGTTTACTTTAATGAATATTTGTGTTTTACAAAAGATGGCACCTACGTACATTTTTTGCTTCCTTATTACCGAAGGTATCAAGGAACTTAGTATTTTTTTATAAACACATAGTTTTACTTCCTTTCTAACAAAGGCTGGATGCTTTATATTCATTGAAGAAATAAGAAACAAATTTGATTTTGTATGCGGTCAAATCCATTAGGTATATTACATGCTAACATAAATCCGAATTAGATGGTACCATATCAATGTCATCAACTTTCATCCATTTACATTACATTCGTGTAATCGAATTTTCTTTGACATGCCTACATTTTAGAAACTGCTCGTTCGAATTAAATCAAAGTTGGAAAAAAATTCGGTGTTAGTGATAAAACAACGCAGGCTCAATTTTATCACATTCGATCTTCCCATTACATTTGCTCAAATGTATTTTCCTTGAAAGCCGTTATCTCAAATATCATAGACTTTGAAGTATAGGACATTATGTAACCAATAGAAATGGTGAGGAAACCATACTGTATTCTATGAAGTATTATCGGAAGGTTCTAAATAGTGTTGCCCAAAATCGTTATTGGTCTTGCACTCAGAAAACCAAGAATGGTTGAATAAATCATTTTTGCGAATAAAAATTAAGGAAAAATAATTACTAATACTTGACAATTTTAATTTATATATATAAAGAATTGGTATAACCTATATACTTTTCCATTCAACTCTTTCAGTTTTTCATTCGGGTTAGGTTAGGTATTTCTTATCCGAAAAATTACAGTGATAGACTAATAGGTAACTGCAAGACCAAAACTGAGTGCGCATTTGGGCAACACTAATTTTAAACCATATAAATGAGTCCTCCAAACAGCAAATTGTTTATTAAGGACACTATGAGAACACATTAAAGGAGACTAGATTCCTGTACCAAAGATCAACATTTCTTTTCACTTTAAGTACCTACTCGAGATTAACCAAATTTTGGTCGTACATCCCTTGTTAACAGATTAATACAAAAGTAGTTATTATCAGGGCAGACTAGGTTAAACTTAGTGAAAGTAAGATAAGACTTTATTTGTATAAGGTTGTTAAAGTGTGACTTACTATTTCCAATCTGCATTAATGTATATGGTTTTGGACAATTCTGATATCCATTCATTCTCAAGGAAATCCTGGATACAACCCCTTTTGACGAGTTTCACGCAAACCCAGACTCTATCAGCCAACATCCCCCGAGGCAGGAAGGGGAACTTTAACAAGTCTGTGGACCCTCTTCTTCCGGAAGAAAGTAGTTGCGCAAATTAGTAGGCGGGGAGCCGATTCGAGAAGCGCACCACCATGAGTGAGCTCGCCATAAATTATTCAACCTCCATCATCGGCCCCCCATCGCCCCCCATCGGGTCGGTATTAGGCAGGCTGCAGCAGATGTAGTCTCTCTGTCGAGATGGCTCACTTCTTACCACGTGTTCCGCTCCTAATGGCCTTTTCATAAAGGCTGGGGTTTTCCCGAGTTATGGAAAAACGTATTGGTGAAGGGGACCAGGTTAGAATCACAGGGGGCGAGATTTATAGTGAGTATTTTATTCAATGGAGGATAACCACCTGGAATAAACATACTATTTAAGAAATAGTAATATTTTATACATTTTTTTTTTAGGAATAAAGGAAAAAATATTATCAAGAAAGAGAATAAAATCCACCTCCAAAGAATTTTGAATTATGTTTTCAATAATTGTAAATTTAAATTGTATTAAATTGTACACATAGGTATTCTCGACTCTCGATTTCATCTTAAACTAACCGGACATCACAAAGGACTTATCAAAAAATGCCCATCAGGAGACGATTAAAGAGGAGCTGGATGAGAGATCTCCTTTCCTGAAGTAAGAAAGTAAACCAAGACCAGGAAGAGATGCTGAGGGATACTATTCTTCCTCATTCATAAAATGCCGATTTCAGTTACTTTAACATCACATCTGCTTATTTTCAAGACCATGACAGGTGTATATAAAAATATGAAGAGAAAAAAAAATTGTAACTAACCCAAATTGGATGCACAAATCTGTAACGGAGGTTACGCGGCGATAATATTTAGTTTTAATATTTAAATTCGAAATAGCCAAGTTTCTAAATATGTAAACAGATTGATATTTATTAATAACTGATTTAAAATCAAAATAAAACCAATTTAAAATTATATTTCAAGAATGATTTATCGTGTTTACTTATATTGCCAAAAATGTACCAATTTATTATTTCCGCTTTATGGATAACTATGATGCGAATTACTTC